CAAAATAGATGAAAGAGAAAGATTGAATAGAATAGAAAATACTCAATCACTCTCTCCCACAGCTTCATAGTGTGGCTGATAAGTTTAATCCCTCAGTAGTTCGTACAATTTTGTCTGTATCCTTTGTTCTAGTGAATAGGTAACACAATACTTTCTTCCATTCATCGGCCATTTTATTTGTTCTCAACACGTTGTTGAACATCTTGGTTAGCTAGTCAATGTCGATCTCCCTAATGCACTTCTAGGCCGCTATCGAGTACCATCTGGTCCTAAAACCTTTTCTATCTTTACCCTCTTCAAAGCTTCTTTCACTTCTGATATTCTGATCCTACGAATATATTTATGATCTCTACCTTCATTGATGCTATTGGTTCCTTCTACTGTTTTGTTCATATTGTATTTATCCTTTAATAATTTTTTAAAATAAACTCTCCACCTTTCGTTGACCTCTTCACCCTTCACCAAGGCCTTTTGATCATCACTCTTAATGCATTTAATATGGTCTAGATCCCTACATTTTCTCTCTCTAATTTTTGCTAATTTAAAGACATCTTTTTCACCTTTTTTTATTCTAGTTTATTGTATAAATTATTACATGCCTTAAGTTTAGCCTTACTTACTATTTGTTTAGCATTTTTATATAGGATTGTATACAATGAGACCATTTACCTTTGATACAAGAGGTAACAATTACTTACAACCATTCGATGTGAAATCTAATAGCTTGAGTATCACAAAGTTCTAGAAAATTTCTTTTGAAGTTTGAGCTTGGTCAATAGAATAAATGCAACCATCTAATGGTCAAGATTAATTGTGACCACCTTGTACTAAAGATAAATGGTTTCATTGTATACTTTTCTTTTTTATATTCTTCTAAGTTTGGATAATTTCTACTACATTGCCAAGTTGTATAACATGATCATTTTTCACTAGTGGCCTTTTGCACCTCATCACTCCGCCACCAAATTTTCGTATCAGAATTTCTTTTCCCTCTAGTTTCTCCTAAAACTTCATTTTCCACTTTCTTAATATTGTCCGCTATCTCATTCCACATAATATTGACCTCATGTTCTGAGTTCCATTTTCCCTCTTTAACTCATTTATCCCTAAATAAATCTATTTTCTCATTTTTTAAATTCTTTCACCTGGTACTTGGACACCAATTAATTTCATCCCTTCTCTTCCATCTCTTTATGCAGACGTTTATAAACACGAGCCTATATTGCATAGTTAAACTCTCCTGGGATAGCCCTACAATCTTTACATGATGGTCGATCTACCTTTTCAACTAGGAAGAAGTCAATCTGTCTTTATATGATCAACTTTTATAAGTTATTAAATATTCATCTCGCTTTTTAGAGTAAGTGTTTACTATTACTTGGTCGTAGGCCCATAGAAAAATCTAGAATAGCATCACCCATCTCATTTTTTTTTACCAAACCTGTATCTGCCATATACCCCTTCATATCCTCTATTATCATTGACTACATGACCATTTAAGTCCCCAACTAAAAAGGTCCCCTCTCCATTTAGCATGTCTTGGACTAGTCCATCCAAGTCGTCCCCAAATTGTCTCTTAATTCTATCCTCTAGTCCTACTTGTGTTGCATAAGCACTAATTACATTAATTCTCTCTTTTCCTAATACAAGATTAATTAATAGGAGCCTACCACCTACTCTGTTAGCATTAACATTTTATCTTTTAAATCTTTGTCTACTATTATGCCTACGCCATTTCTATATACCGAAATTTGTACCCATCTATTTCTTTAGCTTTTTTCTCTTTCCATTTAGTTTTCTGTAGACAAGCTACATTTGCTCCTTCATCTCATTGTATCAACTAACTCCATACTCTTACTTGTAAGCATTCCTACATTCCATATGGCTAGACGAATGCTATTCTCTTGGACTAGCTTCTTTACTCACGCTCGTCCAGAATGTCACGAGAACCCTTGCTTATTTTTATAACGCTGTGGCTCATTGCTTCTGGGGAATGCCAAAGCTAACCCTTGCTTATTTTTATAACACTGTGGCTCATTGCTTTTGGGGAATGCCTAGCTAACCCTTGCTCATTCTCATTGTACCCGGTTTTCAATAGAGCTCATCGCTTACAAGAATGCCCTAACACAAGTAAATAATGTATATTCAAGATTCATGGAAAGTTTTATATTGGTTGCCTACCTAATACAACCCATCTCCTTTACGCGTGGGATGGGGGTTAAGAGAAAGTTTAAAGTCCTCACCCTTCATAGACCAAATTTATGAAGATCATGTGAACCCTAAAATCAGATACGAAAATTTCATACCACATCTGAATTTTTCCTAAAGTTTCAAACCCTAAAATTTTATTTTTTTGTGAACCTTAATTTGTCCTCATTCATCCTTTCATGGCTTCCTTATCTATAGCCATTTTTTTATTATTCATGACATGCTTCCACGTATTGTCTATATTAAATTGGACTCAACCAATTTCATATATGGAAGAGTCAAATTGTTCTAGTCTTACATGGTCTAAACACTGATGGGATATCTTGATGGAACCTTATCTCCTCCCCCAAAACTCATTGTGAAAGAGACTGCCCCCAATGTGGGCATAAAAGAGAAGAAAGGAGATCAAACTAGTCTCCAGTCTTGGGAGCTATTTTGTCGCAAACCAGTCATTAATAGGCTGGATAAATTCCAGCCTTTCCCAAGACATAATGTCCCAAGTGATAGATGTTTTTTCTGGCAAAGAATTGGGGGATTTTCTTCATGTGCTTTAGGCGAGCTTTGTTGGATTTATGGCCTTTCAAAGCCTTAAAGCTAAGATTCAACTCATTCATTGGAAGTAAGAGAAGATAATTTTGAGTGTTTGGCACACTAGGCCCAAAGTCATATACCCTAATCACATGAGGCAATGAGCGACTTCGATTTAAGAGAGAAATCTCTTGTGGAGGTGTGAGGGTCACCTTCGAGTCAAGTCGATATTTATGAGTATGCCTCATCATAGGTGTGATTGGCTAGGGCAAGGAGAACCAAAAAGTGAATAATAGAACCCAAGTAATTTTTTAGTATTAGCCATGTATAGATGGTCATGACTCTCGGGACATGAGTCCGTACCTTAACACTAGACCACCCTCTAGTTTGTGCACTCAGAGTCGTACATGAAGCTATTCTTCTGATGTATGATTCGATTAAGAAGAGCTAGTGAATATGTGCCTTGAGAGGACTCCTGTATGTGAGCACTTTTATGTGCACCTGTTATCCATTGAGATCTAGGTGATGGAAAGCTTGATTGGAGTTACTTTGATGAGGCCGAATTATGTGTCCTTGCTATAGACGGTGGAGCATAGGCCCGTTGGTTCATTCTGAGATAAGTAAACCACCATTTCAGAGTAGCCCAATGGAGTGCTCCAATAGCTAGATCTAAGCCTAGAGATCTCAATTACCATTTCTCCTATTTTATTTTGATGAGAAAGGGTGTATTTATGATGAAAAATCATTTGGATAATTTTTGGGAATTTTTTAGAATTGTTTTGAATTTTTTCGAAGCCTAAAATTCCATTTTCAAAATTGTTTGAGGTTAATTCCACTAAGGGACAGCTGGTGGAGGGTGTCCACGTGGCACTCAAGTGGCCATAGGGTGGTGGCACCCTCAGGGGCCACCTTGTTGCTGGCGCTATCATGACTTCAAACACATGGGGCCATGTCCTCTTGTGCAATTATATGTTTTGTTCACTTTAGATATATAGTTTTTAATAAATGTTTACTTTATAACTTAAGTTAAATTATTATTTTTTGGGTAATTTAAGTTAAATTATTTGCACATGGGAATTTGACACATGTGAATTGGGTGACATGCGCCAAGGGTTAGGGCTCATCATGATATTTTTGGATTAAACCCTAATGTATGGGAGAAAATGAAAAATTAAAGTGGCTTTTTGTGTAGCATGATCCCATTGGCTAAAGCCTAAGTGAAGTTTATGGAATGGCATTGTAATTGGCTAATATATGGGTTATTATCCTAGGTGGAATATCTCTGTCAAATTACCATAAGGGCATGCCCCTACCCTTGTGATGTGTTATTATTTTCATAAAGTTTTATGGCCAATTATGGAATTATTCATGGACTTATAATGAAACTTTTTATGGGACAAGGACAATTTGGTAATATGGCTAATCTAGGGTTTTATGGAGTGATAATGATTTGCAAATCACGTCTATTGATCTTGATGGTTAGGCATTAATGTGTGGTCAGGATCAAAGCGCTCTCATCTGCTATATATTAAAAGCATCAAAGGCTAAGATTGACTCACTCAAAATATCTCACCACCTCAAGGCTATAAATACCCATGCTCACCTGTCATTTCTACAGACAATGGCACATAGTGATTGGCTAATATGGGATATTATCCTAGTTGAAATGTCTTTCTCAAACTACCATAAGGACATGCCCCTACCCTTATGATGTTTTATTATTTTCTTAAAGTTTTATGGTCAATTATGAAAGATTGCACTTATGGTAATTAGAAAGAAATGTTTCTACTCATTGCATTCAAATGTGAAGCCAAAACTAAAATAATAAATCTCTTTTGCAAGCTCTTTGAAATGGGTTATGCCTTGAATTGGGAAGAATAACATATGAAGTACAATATACATGATTAAAACCTCTTTTTGAGATAACTGGAAAGAGCACTTTAAGTTGAAGCAAGGATTGAAAGAGAGAGAGAGAGAGTTTAGGAAGAAGAAGAAGGGGAGGAGGATGAGTTCCTTTCACTGTTAGCAATAACGTACCATTAAACCATTTGGCCATTAGAAAAATTTTGACTTGCACTTATAAGTAGTCCATACAATTTATTCTCAAATAGTTAATCTGTGAAAATTTGCATATTTCTTGTTAAAAAGGTCGTTTAGGATTGAAAGTAGTAATCAATTGGAAGTTTATAGTATACTATTTGTGTTTGTACTCCAAAATTTTGAGTGACTATTATTGAGAAAAAATTTTGGCAAACATTTCTTAGGTGCGCTGGAAGGGATATGGTTCTAGTGAAGATACATGGGAACCTATTGGAAGTTTGGGGTATTGTATCATCTATTTAGCAGACCCTGCCGTTGTATTCTTTTACCTCTTTATTTTTCATTAGGTTTCTTTTCATGGGTTCTTATTCCAACAATTTTGCACCAGTAAATGCCAAGAGCGGACAAGAGAGTTTGTTCAAGAAGGCATTAAAGCAAATATATTGCCCCTACCTGTAAGTTGTGTGATGGTCGAGTTGTGTCGCTTTTCTTGTTTTGTATATATCACATCACATGCTTTCCTCATTCTACTCATTTTTAGGACATTCGTGATTTAAAATCTGCCTTACTCCTTTTGGGGTCCAATATTCTTAGGGTGACGTTGGCATTGTCTGTGGTGGTCCTCCTTGCCAAGGAATTAGCGGATACAATCGTTTTAGAAATGAAGAAGCACCATTAGACGATCCAAAGAATCATCAGCTGGTTGTATTCATGGACATAGTCAATTTCCTTCAGCCTAGATATGTTCTAATGGAGAATGTGCTTGACATCTTAAAATTTGCGGGAGGTTTTCTTGGGCGGTATGCTTTGAGCCGCTTAATTAATATGAATTATCAAGCAAGACTTGGAATTATGGCTGCTGGTTGCTATGGTCTTCCACAGTTTCGACTTCGTGTATTTTTATGGGGCGCACATCCTCATGAGGTAAGTTATTGCTATTATTCTCGGTAGGCGTCTGACTCAGATTTGAACCTCTAGTACAAGGAAGTCATAAATCGTTCATTGCATTGTTTTCTTTTCTCTCTAACTGCAGAAGTTGCCCCAATATCCGCTTCCTACGCATGATGTGGTTTTGCGAGGAGTTATTCCTTGTGAATTTGAGGTACAGGGAATGTAATGTGATTTTTGTTAGGGAACTATTATATGTTTACTCTCTTTTCTAACAGTGTATGAGCTTAATATTGTAGCCAAATACTGTGGCTTATGATGAAGACCAGCCACGCAATCTAAAAGATGCAGTTCTCCTTGGTGATGCTATATCTGACTTGCCCACTGTAAGATTACGTTGTATGAATTTGATGATTGGTTGATCTCTCCTTGTGATTACATTTTGAGCTATTTGCTTTGGATATTTTTTAAGGTCACGAATTTTGAAACACGTGATGAGATGCCGTATGGTAAACCTCCACAAACCGAGTTCCAGAGATACATTCGAGCAACAAAACATGGTGAGTCCGCAATTTATAGAATGAAGGTCCCATTTCGATACAGAAAACTTCTTCCCCCCTCTCCCAAAAGTCCTCTTTTGTATGTAGTAGTGGATTTACGGGCCATGCATGATGATTTGCAACGGAAGTTAGAAGATTAACAAATGATTCTAAACATAAAGTACTAAATTAATTTATTTTGAACTCCACACTATAAGGTGGAAGTTTGATGTCATTTATACAAAGCACCCATGAAAGATCAAGAAATCCTTGAATATAATAAAGGCATCGGGTAGTTACAATTAATAAACAAAAATCAGGAAAGTTGGAGCAATTACAATTAATCAACAATATCAGTAAAGTTTTCATTATGTCATCATCATTATCATCGCCATCATCCAAGCCTTATCCCATCTATTTGGGGTCGACTATCTGAATTCTGTTCTGCCATGCTATTCTATCAAGGGCCATACCCTTAGTTAGATCATAAGTCACCATATCTTTTTCACCACTTTCATCTATTATGTGCTTTTAGGCCTTTCCCTTGCCCTTTTAAAGTCTTCCATTGGAATCAAGTCACCTTTTCTAATTAGTGTTATATTAAGTATGTCCTGCATATGGCCGAGCCATTTAAGCCTACTTTCACTAATCTTATTGCCTTTTGGAGCTACCCCTAAGTTCCCTCGAATGTATTCGTTACGAATGCTCTCATTTCTTGTCTTGCCACTCATGCATCTCAGCATCTTCATCTCAATTACACTTATCCTATGGATATGTTGTTTCTTGATCGCCTAATATTCCATCCTAGAAAACATGGTTTATCTTACAGCTGTTACATAGAACTTCCCCTTAATTTCATTGGTATGCGCCATAACATAAATAATACTTAGGTTCAAAAATCTTGAGCCCAAGTATTTGTTATAAAATTTGAGAATTGTCTCATAAATAATTTTTAAAACATTAGTAGTGAATTTCTTTAATCTTTATATTTCAAGAGCTCTTTGGAAGATGATAAATAAAAAAATGATTCATCAATAAATTTTAAAAGAATTAAAATTCAATATTAAATGCAACAGTTTTAAAACTGAATTTATTTCCTAGTATTATAGTTAGAGCAAAAAACTTAAATAATTTGTAAGGAAAGAATGGACATAAATTTCTAAATATTCCAAACTTCATAATTGAAAAACTGAAAATAGTCACAAACTATTTTTTAGGCATAAAAATACTGGAAATTATAATTCCTCAAAAAAGAAAATATAGGTGGTTTCCTTTTCATAGTCAAGACAATGTAGTTATATTTAAATAGTTGAGAAATTGTAATAATGAAAATAAAACATGTCATAAAATTAAGAGAACATGTTAAGCTTGCATTAAATGTTTACATTTTTTTAATAAAATATTGTAGATATTTTACTAAGCATGTAAACAAATAAATGATTTTTTTGTACTTACAAGAAAATTGAACGGCGGTAGCTCTTTAAAAATTAAAAGAATAGGAGTATTTTATTGGAAATACAATTTTGCTATTTATGTGCGTAAGAAAATGTAATGAAATATTTTTAAATCTTGAAATTTTGATGAAAAAAATGAATTCTTCAATATTTCGTAAATAATAAAATGTGAGTCTGCATTGAAATATTACAGCATTACCACATGCTTTGACAATAGAAACTGTCATTTTAGGACTTAGCCTAATGTAAAAACTAGGATTCTGAAATTAAGAGCAATGTATATAATCCACATATAATCCTAATACTAAGAAAGAGACATGGACTTAACAAAAAAGTGACATACCTCTTGTTATTTGATGGGATTCATTGTAAACGAAGATCCAATGCAATTAAAGAAATATGATGGAATGAATTCATTAGAGGAGTACATACATATTCACATGGAAGACGGAAAGCAAATGACATACTTCTTTATTTTATGGGATTTGTCGTAAAAGAGGACTTTACACAATTAAAACTAATAAACGATACGATGGAATGAATTTATCAGAGGAGAACATACACATTCACATGCAAGATAATATATATATATATATATAT